GCCCCCAAATACCATACTATAGAAGGAATTATTGGTCCCAATTCCCTAATGGTTGTATATATGGACCCTCTGGGAGGTTCACACACCTACCAATCGAACTCCGAGGCCGGACACCCAAAACCCCAATACCCTAAGCCCTCAGATGCCAGAAACTGTTCAGATTGCAGCGAAAAAACGATCCCTAAGGGTCCAAGTACCTAATAATCATATACTTACCCAAAACCTGTACTATAACTACTATTACCCAAAACCCAAGTACCTAAGTATTGGGTACTTAGACCCAAAACCCTAAACCCTATATACCCTAAACCCTATATAACCTTTCAAGGGAACCTAGTTATTGGGTACGTGGACCCTCTGGGGATGTTATCCTACTGTCCAGGCGGCCAGCTGGAAAAGAGTCCAGAGTTGACAAACGTAGGGTTTAGGGTTTAGGGTTTAGGGTACAGTCACCCAGCCCCCTTAAAGTTCGCCACACGGTTTAGGGGTTTAGGGTTTAGGATCCCAGAAAATGGAACCCCCTAATAGTCCCCCTAGTTTCCCCAATGTAGTGATGGGCTCATACTGGGGGAGTTCCATTTTTGGGGAGCCCGGGCATGGAGTCATGCATGAAGAGCCCCCCATGCAAGCCTATTTGAGCTATAGTCTAAACTCCTTAAAGGGGGTTATATAGGGAATTATATAGGGGACTACTATAGGGGTTATTAAGGGGGATACTAGGAGTTTAAGACTATAGCTCATTTAACCATCATGCCCTTGTGGACCAGCAAAGAAGAACCTTGACTTAGACAGCCACAATATAGGGATACTAGTTTCCATTTAGGAAAATCCAATATCCCAATATGATCCCTATCCCTATCGTACTGCAGTAGTTTCCATTTCCTTCTCCATTCTCCCAACATACTCCCACATAAAGCTCCCTCAATGGTTCCTACATACTCCCCAGATCATGCGACGTATTTTACATAGATACCCACCAAAGCGAGCTTCTCTCGCCTTCAGCTGCAGTTCGAAGCGTTGAACCCGGAAACACAAACCATACCTAGGGCTTCCAGTCACCTAAATAATGGGCACTAGGTTCTATATACCCTATAGTTACAGAGCCCAGCAACCTACTATTTAGGTAGCTGGGAGCCCTAGGATAGACAAGAAACCCTGAACCCTAACCCCGCACAAGAGACATTTAACACCAACCTTGAACAAGATGCCTGAACCCAAAATCGTCCACATCCACAGCAGTTCAGCCAGGTCTGGGGACTTTGTTGAGGCGGCCGCTTTACGTAGACTCTTCAGGATGGTCTTTCAGGCTTAGCTCGCTTTGCACCGAAGATCTTTCCATTGCTTCCTGGTCCCCACAAGTATGTAAAATAATGGCCTTTATGGCTATTATTATGGGTTTAGGGCTATTATTTTACATGCTTTTGGGGTATAGGTTAGGGTTTAGGGCTTAGAGTCTTGGGCCACTTGAGGTACCTGTACGCTTCGAATTGTTTTGAGAAGATGCAGGCCGGACCCACACCATGGAAGAAGCTCAACTACGTGCGTATGAAAATTGGTGCTGTGGTACAGGGTTAGTTGGGCGTAAAGAGGACGATCCCCATTTTCAAGAAACTCCCATAAAATCGCATGTTGCTGGTAGCATATATCCCGTGTGCCTCTTACACAAGCCTTTGAGCACTTGCCATCAAGCTCCCAAACAAGACGGCGTATCAGCGAGCTCAAGAGTTTCCTTTAAGGGAGAATCCTTGGAACAGATTGATGTCCGACTGCTGTCGCCGCTGCTGCTGTCGCTGCTGCTGCTGCTGCTGCTGCTGCTGCTGCCGTCGTCGCTTCTATCACAACACGGACTGCTGTTACTAGTGTTGTAGTAGCAGTAGGAGGAGCAGTAGGAAAAGCGTGGTATTAGTCGGAGTAGTCGTGGTGGTAGTACCTGAACCCCAAAGGCATGTGGAACAACGGCCGCGTTGGCTATTTTTGGGGCTTTGGGCTAGTATTTTACACACTTTTGGGGTTTAGGTAAGCCCTAAACCCTAAACCCTACACCCTAACCCCTTTGGTGTTTAGGTATATAGCCCTTTGATTTCAAAGGCACTCCCAGGATGGATGAAGCGGATCTCAATGAAGGGGAGGCAACTGCCCAAAGAAGTGGGGCTTCGGGGTTAGTTAGGGTTTACGGTTTGAATTGGGGCTTTAGGTCCAATATACCATAATCTGGACATTTTTGACTCTTACAAGTGCTGCTTTGGTAAAGGGACCCTGGGAGTAAGAGTAGTATTCGCCTCATGACTGGCTAGGGTTTGGGAAAAGCGCATAGAGAGAAGTCTGATCTTGCTGGCGTTTACTCCTAAGCCCTACATGTACAGACTTCAAAGCCCTTAGCCTTAGGTCGTTCCCCATCACAGTAGCTTCTAATTACCACCAGAGGTAGTAGGAGTTATCATGGCCCCTAAGTAAAGACCCCTATAAGTATAGTTACTGTTATAAGGGGACATGACCAGACCTTAGCACATCAACCTTCAGTGCTGAACCCCAGAGCCCAAATCTGAGAACTCCAAGTCAAAATACCCTAAACCCTAAAAACCTTAAAGCCGTAAACCCTAAACCCTAAAACACTTAAAACCCTAAACCCTACACCTTAAAACCCTCAAAAACCCTAAAACATTAAACCCTAACGCCTAAAAACCCTAAAACCCTAAACCCTAAACACCTGTCACTTGAAGTGCTTGGAGGTCTACCTCTACTACTGGGACTCCCGGGATGGACCTAGCTTCGAAGGTGGTTTAGGGTTTAGGATTTAG